TGGGGAGCAAAGACAAATTGAGTGAGATTGAGGAGAGAGAGAGAGGAGGATGGAGAGAGAGAGGAGGGTTTGTTTTGTTTGTGTTTCAACTGTGAATACAATATATATATATATATATATATATATATATATAACGGTAGTTTGGTTATTGTGCAGAAGTATGTCCTTATGGATCTTTGGACAAAAAAATTTTGAATTTAGACTTCTGAACTCAATGCCTTTTTCAAAATAAAAAAATGCAATTTGCTTAGTAAATGAAAGCTTAATTTAAAAGAAAAATAAATCCATATGAAATAAAGGTTTTTATTTTACATTTTGGCCTCCCAAAGATAGAGTCCTACTTCCGTTCCTAAATGGGTATGTCAATGCATCCATCTATAACTAAATTTGAAAAAAATAACAAATTAGTGTTAATTTTAAAAAATAATTATAAATTTAAGGTAAATTTTATACATTTTAATGATCAAAGTCATAAATTTTTTTCATAAATCTATAATTATTTTATGATAGTACCAATGATTTGCTATTTGGGGAATTTACGGTCAAATGGGATTTCTAGAAAAAATATTTCACAAAAGTTTATAACATTAATTATAAATATTAATAAAATTTATTATTAATTTATAATTAAATTTAATAAATTACATTGTATTTTTCCCATGTTAATTTTCCTTATTTAAATTTGGACCTACAAATTGCGGTGCAATGATTGAAAAAAAACTACCCAGAAACAATACGCCACACCACCCGTGATTTTCGTAAAGGACGATATTGTCGCATAGCCAACTAGATTCTCCGGTTGGGCCATCTCGGTTCATTTTGTGAAGCCATGTTAAAAATTAGTTATATATTTAGATTATATTTATTTAAAAATATATAAATAATTTATTATAAAAATTATATTTATCGTTCTTTTTTTAAAGATAAATATAATTTAATTATATGTCTATAATAATATTTATTTGAAAATCTTATAAAATAAATAATTTAAATTATCAAAATAAATTTTGAGATAGACCCACGAAAACCTAGAAGTGAGATCTGATCGGTATGCCAACTGGAGACATTATGGGATGTGGATCTTTGTGGAGAAAATAGCAGTTTTGGCTCATCAGAACAGCTTCAGGTTGCTCGACAAAATTTCTGGTAAAAGTATATGGAAAAATATTCTATTTGTTTTGTCTAACAAGTTGAGTTACTGTATACTCGAATCACACTCTTTATTTAAAAAAAAAAAAAAAGTGATTTATTCATATAATTTCTCCACCAAATTCTCCTGAATGAGTGCCTTTGAATTTTTGAAAAATATAATAAATTTCTTAAATTTGATATAATTATATAGAACTTCTTTAAAGTTTAAATTTACATAATATTTAGCCTCCTTTTATCAATAATCCGTTAGTTATCGATGAAAAAAAATTATATTGCCATCACTTTTATATTAAAATAAATATTTTATCTTTTTTGTATTTGTATCACACCATATGTATTAGTTTCAGTCACTTTAATCTTATTAAAAAAAAGTTAGTGTAATTATACTAAAATTGTAAAATTTTCTCTATTTATTTTTTCAAATCTCAAAAGAAATTAGCATAATTTATCTTTCTTTTTTTTTTTGTGAAAACTAAAATTCCCTTTGTAAGAAATTGAAACACATTCGTCTCTGGTCCATTTTGGTGGGTTGTATGCCTAGTTAAAGCTCCCATAAGTTCTATTTTGATAATCTAATTTATTTAGGACAAATTAAATCAGTGGTCCCTATATATTTTACTTCTTGTGTTATTTTGGTTCCCACAATTTCAATTAACTCGATTTTAATTTTTAATTTTGTGTCAATTTAATCTAATTGATAATATCATTAGTGATTTTAAAGAAAAATTAATACTAGATTGGTTGAGGTTAACTTATTGAGTTAGGTAAGTTATAATTTTGCACTAAAAAACATAGCATATGATATTTATGTGCATATTTTTCATGAAAAAATGGTAAGAGTTATAACCAATTGGATTAAATTGGGACAAAGTTATAAATTTAAAGTCAAAATCAAGTTAATTAAAATTACATGGATTAAAATGATATAAAGACCAAAATACGGGTATTACTTTCGTAATTTGTCTATTTGTTAATTTTTTAAATACTTTTGTATGAATTGAGACAATGGTTATTTTTTTTTAAACAAAAGGACAATAGGTAGTTGGTGTGCTTTGGGCACAAGAATTTATCTAATGAGGTTGAATCCAAGTTTTAATTTGATAATCTGAACTATTCACATTTTAAAGTATCTCAATTGAATTATATCTTAAAAAATTAAGCTAATGAGACATCTTTAACACTTTCATCAAAATAGATTTTTATCTAAAAAAATAAAATAAATGGTAAGTATTATTTTAACTATAAAATTAATTCAAATGTTATTCGATAATAGAAATATTAATATTCGATCAACTTAATTTTTTTCACATATTTTTTATTCAATAAATCTTCAAATCTATACTATTTGAATTTTCAAAATCAGATCCGAAATTGCCCAATTGAGCGAGTGCGGTGCCCTTCTTCCTTAATTGATTAATCTAGTGTATTTTTATTTATTTATTTATTTTTAATAATCAACCCACAATCAATTACAAAACATGAATAGATGAGGAAAATAGTGGGCTTGGATTCCACGGACTAAACTGGACCGTCTGTTCCATCTTGACAAGCTGTTCACTAGGAAAAAAAAACCACATACCAACGGGGTATCAAAAGTTCCTCATTTGGCACTCACACCGTCTTTGAATACAAGAAGCTTCAACACCATGCATGCCAGCTCTATTTTCTCTACTATTTGTTATATCCCTCTCTCTCATCATTTCACGCGTACCATTCTCTCTCTCTCTCTCTCTCCCCCTCTCTCTCTCAAAATGTTCACATATATAGGCCTCATAACAACAATGTCTACCACCAACACATCACATTCTCTCTCTCTCTCTCTCTCTCTCTATGGCAATTTGCATATCTTGTAAAATTTCTATGATGCTGTTAGTCTTCCTATTTGTGAGTTCTTTCATGGCTGCCTCAGCCAGTAACTTCTATGATGACTTCGATCTAACTTGGGGCAATCAACGTGCCAGAATACGCAATGGTGGCCAACTTCTCACTCTTTCTCTTGACAAGGCCTCTGGCTCTGGCTTTCAATCCAAAAGAGAATATCTCTTCGGAAGGATCGACATGCAACTTAAGCTTGTCTCTGGAAACTCTGCTGGCACTGTCACTGCTTACTATGTAAAAATCTCTCTTTACGTCGAAACTTGTTAGTTATCATTTTGTATAATTGTTCTGTATGATTAATTATTTTTTGTTTTTTTTTTTTTTTTTGTTGATGCAGTTGTCTTCTCAAGGACCAACTCATGATGAGATTGATTTTGAGTTCTTGGGGAATATTAGTGGACAACCATATATTGTCCACACTAATGTGTTCACCCAAGGGAAAGGGAATAGAGAACAACAATTCTATCTCTGGTTTGACCCTACAAGAAACTTTCACACCTATTCAATTGTGTGGAACCCCCAAAACATTATGTAAGTTACATGTTTTTACTTTTGTTACCATGACTTTCAAACAATTCTTAATTCATTGTTATTAAAATTAATTGTTCACTTTCAAATTTGATAATATTGATATTTTTGAAACTATAAAACATGCATAAAGATCACAAATGATTATATCATTCTGTTATTAAAATTCTATAAACAATTTATATTGAAATTTTGAAATGCATGAAATAGATTCATATTGGATGGCATGATAGATATAAGTGCACTTATTTAGATAAGTATACTTATTTGGGTCACATCACCTCTCTACTTTTCTGCATATCTTTTCGTAAAAAGTCAAAAATTATACTTAATTAGATCTTCCTAAATAACCAAGTTTAAATTTACAAGACAAATTCAAAATATAGTCACTTTTCTATTTTTTATTTTGAGTTAAGCTTTTCTCGTTGATGTGGTGACCCAATTGGAGAGATAATGTTGGAGCTAAGTGGCCTAACTTTGGCTTATTTCAATGATTTAGACAGTTCATTTTACATATTTATTGACCAAATTATTCATATAAAAAATCACACTTATCGAAAAATTAATAGGAACAAGATCATATCACATCTATCTTAAGAAAATGGATATTTAATCTCAAAATTATTCATTTTTACAAAACAAATGTAATAGGATAATATGACTACAAATATTAATCAATTTTAAATATTTACATGAGTGATCTGATTTGCATTCTGTATAAGATGAACATGTCATATCACTGCCTGTTTGGGAAGGATCAATTTAGCCAAAAAGTCAAAAAGTTACTAAAATAGTCAAAAAAACTAACAACTTATATCAAAAAGTCAAAGATTCTCTTTTTTTCTACTTTTTGCACATCATTTCGTAAAAAGTCAAAAAGTCATCCTTCTCTTTTTTTCTACTTTTTGCACATCATTTCGTAAAAAGTCAAAAAGTCATCCCAAACATACTAGTTTTTTTTAGCTCATATTTTAGCCAAATAACCAAAAAATTACTAAATTAACCTGTTTCCAAACGAGGCCTAAGCTAGGCTAATTAGATCATTAATTAGAGAAGTCATTTTCTTATTTAAATATATATATTTTGGGTCATCGTAGATACACTACAAAAAAATTAAGGTTTTGGAGACCAAAATTTAGGGACAAAATTATTTTTAAGAATAAAATATTTTTGTTGCGAAAAATGTCATTATTATATTTTTAGCAACAAAAATTAGACATTAGTGATGAATTATTATCTATTTAGTATCAAAAAGTCAAATATTCTCTTTTTTTCTACTTTTTGCACATCATTTCGTAAAAAGTCAAAAAGTCATCCCAAACATACTAGTTTTTTTTAGCTCATATTTTAGCCAAATAACCAAAAAATTACTAAATTAACCTGTTTCCAAACGAGGCCTAAGCTAGGCTAATTAGATCATTAATTAGAGAAGTCATTTTCTTATTTAAATATATATATTTTGGGTCATCGTAGATACACTACAAAAAAATTAAGGTTTTGGAGACCAAAATTTAGGGACAAAATTATTTTTAAGAATAAAATATTTTTGTTGCGAAAAATGTCATTATTATATTTTTAGCAACAAAAATTAGACATTAGTGATGAATTATTATCTATTTAGGACTAAATTTTTTGTCTAAAAAAATAAACCATTTTGACATCACATTATTTTGTCCATAAAAGTCTATTTATTAGTGACGTTTTCAAAATTTTGTCGCTAAAAGTCTTATTTTTGACTTTTTGAGACGATCTTTTAGTGACTATCCACACGATGATAGAAATTGGTCTTTAAATATCTTTTGTAACCAAAATTTCACTTTTAAAAATCAAAATATTTGATTTCTAAAACTCTTATATGTTATAGTGATAGCATTTCGGTAAAATTAATATTGAGTAGCTATGCCATGATATTTTTATGTCCAATAGTCTCCACAATACACGTTATGACTATATTCCTACCAACAACTAACGTGTTTGATTTCAAACCCTTCTTGCAGTTTCTTCGTGGACAACAAACCCATAAGAGTATTCAAAAACGAAGAGGCCACCACTGGAGTACCAAACCCTAAAAACCAACCCATGAGAATATACTCCAGCCTCTGGAACGCCGATGATTGGGCAACACAAGGAGGTCTTGTGAAAACGGACTGGTCCAAAGCTCCATTCACTGCTTTTTACAGAAACTTCAATGCCAACGCTTGTGTACCATCTTCTTCCTCTTCATCTCCTTGCTCTTCCATGACGACAAGCTCTGTATTGTCTGGTGCCGAGTGGCAGACCCAGGGGCTCGATGCAGCTGGCCGAAGGAGACTTCGATGGGTCCAAAAGTATTACATGGTTTACAACTACTGCAGCGATTTGAAGCGTTTTCCACAGGGCCTCCCACCTGAGTGTTAAAATTTACCTATACCTACCACCACCTACTACCACACCTACTACACCTACCACCAATTTACCCCCCTCACCTACTCCTCACCTATTACCCAAATCCTCTTCTATATAATAGGAATCCTTGTAATATCAATATCACAACACATCAATATCAATCAATAATACATAAATTCTTACATGGTATCAGAGCAAGCTTAAAGAAGCTAGTAATTCTGCTTCCCCGGCAGGCGGCAGCCTCGCCTTGGCCGCCCGCCGGACCTCTACACACTAACCGTCTCTCATCTCTCTCTCTTTCTCTTACTCAAATTTCTGTCTCTCCTTTAATCTTGCGTCAGCTACGGAGGAGCGTCGAACCTGTCAAGCGTGTATTCATCAAGATCCGTAGGCGATAGTTTCTTGTCGGCAGACTCGTCCTTGCGCGGCTCCTCCCGATACGTCGGCGGCGCAGATCTGCTGGGAGGATCGGCATCCATGCTATTCAGTCAAAGCGATGCCCTCAGGTTCTCCGCCTCTGATTACTCGGCCGCCAGAGTTTCCACGTCCGCATCTTCTCACTCGCGGCACCACCCCAGTTCCACACGCACTCTGCACCAAGCCACCACCACTGCCATCACACACATACACTATACCCAGCACATACACAACCAGCACAAGAGCTACCCACACTGATACATCCACACTCACTCACGGCACAAACAGACTCACTCTTTTTCATAAAAATATGCTTGTCGAAATAGTACTTTAATAAAAATGTGGCAGATCTTCTTTTTCTTATGAGGACAACTTTTTTTTTTTTTTTTAATATTTTTACCTCAACCTCTCACTCTCGGCAGGCCTATGCACATGGCACACACTCACCACGCACATGGGCACACACTCACCATGGACCCTACCACTAGCAATAGTACTTTATAATCATAAGTTCTCTCTCTCTCTCGTGAGGGAGAAAAGGAGAGCCTGGAGCTAAAGCTTAACACACATGCACACCACCATCACTACACCAAACTTTCTTTTTATTATTTTATTTTTCTTTTTCTTAAAACAGAACCAAAACAAGTCTACTTGTCAACCCATCATCCACATCTTTGTTTTGACAAAAAAACCCATTTTTATTTATTTTATTTTATCTTCTCTTTTCTATTTCAAAAATAAATAAATAAATAAATAAAAAACCTTCTATTCAATCCATCTCATTTTTCTGCTCAGTCTTGTACCTTCAAGCCATTTGGATTTACATAACAACCCATATTTTATTCATTTCAGGGATCAACCCCGATCACCATTTTACACAAAAAAAAAAAAAAAAAAAAAAAAAAAAAAAAAAAGATTTGTTTTCTTTTTCTGCAGACGGTCATCCACCGACCTCACTTCTTCCTACTCTGCCGCCGGTCTTTTCTTCTTGCCTCCGTCCTGAGCGGGCCTTGACGGTGTTGCCTCCGTGCTTCCTAGGCCACCAAGCAAGTTGCCTCCTGCCTGCTCCTCCACTGCAGCATATGGCGGCCCTCCAAATCGGAACATCACGGTGGCCTTCCGCTTCAGCTCCTTGTTTTTTGCCTTTAGCACACTTATCTCTGCTCGCGCATCCTTATACATGCGTTGGAGTAGAGCCAGCTGGGAGTTTAAATGTTGCACCTCATTTGTCCTACTCTGCAGCCGGTTCGACAAGTTTCTAACCGCCGTCATGGTTTCCACACATGCCTTCAAAGTATACTGATTGGCCTCCACATCCGACTGCACTGCCATTCTTTGCTCCACAGACCGCATCGGAAAGTTCAACGGAGTAAACTCCGGGGCGCTTGGTTGAGGTTCCAGTGCCTCCGCACTAGTTATCTCTCTTGTTGACTTGTTGAGGTCGGGAAAGAGAGTGAGCAGACTCCGGAACGAAGAGGCCATTTTCTGAGCAACAGAGTGTTACAGACTATCTCTCTCAGCAAAACAACAGAGTGTTACAGACTATCTCTCTCAACAAAACGAAGAGTTTTTTCAGAAGTTTTTCTCAGTTTCTTGTCTCAGTCTCGGCCTCCGCCTCCGCCTTGATTAAATAGCCGCGGCAGCCACGCGTATCGCGCGCCACTTGACGCCAGACAACAAACGGGCGCGCCAACCAAGGCACTCACGTGCCTCGCCATCATGTCCGACACACATTTTGATGAATTGGGCACGCCTTTTGATGGCACGCCTTTTGACAAAATTGAGCACACCTTTTGAGGGTGCAACTTTTACAACGGTCTGACATGACCCCATAAACTGTCCCGACATTTGATTCCGGTTAGCATCTCCAACGGTCCGGCATGACCCCATAAACTGTCCCGACATTGATTCCGGTTAGCATACAGTGTCCTCTACCACGTTATGACACCCCCATACAGTGTCCTTTACCACGTTATGACACCCCATACAGTGTCCTCTACAACGTTATGACACCACCATCCAGTGTCCTCTACCACGTTATAGCACCACCTTTCAGTGTCTTCACCAACGGTCTGACACGACCATACAGTGTCTCCTATCTTTTTTTTTATTTTTATGTATTTTCTTGTTTTGTTCCTCTCTCCAAACTCAAGTTGGTTAGTTTCTATCCTCCTTGAGTTTGCGGGGGGCTGTTAAAATTTACCTACACCTACCACCACCTACTACTACACCTACTACACCTACCACCAATTTACCCCCCTCACCTACTCCTCACCTACTACCCAAATCCTCTTCTATATAATAGGAATCCTTGTAATATCAATATCACAACACATCAATATCAATCAATAATACATAAATTCTTGCACTGAGTGCACACGTTAAGCGAAGCATTAAAACTGTGAACCGGACAAATTTGAACGGTTCAACCATTTTCAAAACTTGGATGAGAACTAAAAGTAATAAAAACCGGATCAAACTGATGGTTTGGACCGGATTCAATTGGTTTATTGGTTCTATCATTTTTTTTTTTTTGCCTAGTAAGTATATGCATTGCTTGAATGAGTTTGTGAGATATTATTGATTGTGGTGGTGTTTGGTTGGTTATGCTTGTGAACATTCTTTGTTGAGTATTAAATAAAACAAATTGTTTGTTTTCCATTCATTGTATTAAAGTCAATATTTACAACGTTACTAATTAAAAAATTCTCAAATATCTTGTTCTAACTTTCATGCCAAGATCTATGATGAACAACAATGTTATATACATCGAACAAGTATTTTGTTTAGTATTCAAAAAATAAAATATATGGATCAAATTTATAATACCTGTGACTTATATTAAATTTAAATTTACAATTGTGTATTTTATTTTGGATACTTGGATCATAAATCTAATTTTCAAACTTCAAGTCGATCAATCTAGACACTAATTGTCACAATTCAAACCCGTCTCTATAGGTTTAACATCGTAACTGGCTAGTAATTTGTGATTACCGAAGGCATGTTTAACAATAATGACAATCATACAATATAAAGGGGCTGGCAGAAGCCAATCAATAATAACATATATCGTTCAATGAGCTGTGAGGATCTGAATAGAAATAAACTTTCATATGCATAGTTATATCGATAAACACTTATGTCCATAAAACACATATACAAGACAAAACACAAGTTAGGGAATTAAATCTCATTATCAAAAACAGTATTAACAAAAATCATAAAACACTCTTTTCACTTAGCAATATCAAAAGGGTGAATTTGAACCACCCAAAAAGCATTGACATATGTTGGTTTGGAATCTCGCGATGAGGCACAATAGCTGGCTTGACAAAACAAGGATTCGGGTCAACGCCACTAGCTTTGATCCGATGCTCGATCACCTACAAATATATAGTAAACAGTGAGTTAGAACTCAGTAAATAACAACTGTGTAAAGAGATAAAGAATGATGTCCTTACAATATTTGAAACAGTCGATTATCAATAGAATAGTTGCAATCAATATATTTTTGTCAATCAATCGTTCAATCATACAATTCAATCAATCATATTCGTATAGGTCATACATGGTACATCTAATAGCAACAATACAATAGGTTTTAAAGACCGAACAATCAATTGATGGCCATCAAACAATAAACAATAGTTCTATGAATTGGAGCTGACAGAGATATCTGTAACAATAGTGATATCAATATCAATAACAATCGCAATATGCTATGGATGCCACGAATACAGTTCAGAAAATAAGATCATCATTCAGTCAATAAAAAGTATCATTTTAGAAACCAATATAATTTATCAATCATAAAATAAATACAATCTGAACATATCTTTACAACAATATTACTCACAGTGGGCTCATGAAAAACGCGTGCTAATCATTCGACATCTTACCTAAACAAATAAGTTAAGCACAACACGATTACAATTACACTCTTACAATCTATTTAATTCGGTTACTTGTTTGTCTTTCGTTTCTCTCATTTAATTCTAATTTTTCATTTGGTTATTCTATATTTTCTTCCTTCCATTCCTCTTAAATATGGATGACTAATATTAGGAATTAATTAGATTATTAACCTCCAATTAAGATATGTTTAGCTATGAATTACTCAAACTAATTCAATATAAATAATCGAATCATATACAAACCCTTATTAAGTTCACTAATTACACAATCAAACTTAAATTAGGCTCATACACATTAAATTATAATTATTCAGTCATATTTAAATTACTAAATCAGAAACTCATAAATATGTACATTTTGCAATTTCAACTCGATTTTCAAGCAAATCAAGGCCCAAATAATTAATTTTCACATTTATTTCCATAATCCTAACTTAATTTCAATTGAATTTAATTAATTCTCAATTAAGGCTTAATTTGACTACATCTAATTTTACAAACCTAAATCAGATTTTTAGTTGAATTCTTATAAGGCTCTAAATATCAAATTAAACTCATTCTTCCATTTTTGAAACTCAATTTTATGAAACATCCATTTTCTTGAACCCAAGCTCTAATTCATGCTTAATCTCTCCTTAAACTCCATGAATCATGGTTAAAAACAAGTTCAGAACCCAAGTTCTCTTAAGAATATGCCATGCATGTACGGATTATGAGTTAAATTGATCAATTCTTTAATTTTTTTTAACATGCATGCTCTAAGTTCTCAATTACATGAGCAAATCTTCTAATTAATTATAAATTCAATTCAATTAAGCTTATGATCTTCCTATTTGAATCTAGATTCTATGAATTAATAGTGTATCATTTCAACTTCATGAATTAGGAGGTGGAAATTACCTTGGTTTAATGATTTAATTCAATATGAATTAAGCCCTTTCTTTCTTCTTTCTTCAGTTCTTCTTTGAGCTCAAACTCTCATTTCTCTCTCTCTCTCTCTCTCTCTCTCTCTCTCTCTCTTCGTGGGTCTTGTTTGGTGTGTTAAATGGAAAACTCAATATAACAAGCAACCAAATACTCTCTCTCTAAATATGTTAAAAACTGAGTAGTATTCTACTCCAAATTGAAGCCCCGGAAGTTAGCTTTCCAATGGCGCAAACCTTGCATTAAAATTCCTCCTGTGGAAAAGTTATGCCCTTTTTCGTGAAGCCGCGCAGACTCGATCCAACCGGGATGATCCCCAACTTCAGCTGATCATATCTCCCCCACCCGGACTTGGCTTTAAGAGATTCTTGAGTGAAAAATGAAGCCCCGGAAGTAAGCTTTCCAACGGTGGTGGCCTCATAGCTAAACTCCAAGTGTACAGATAGATAAGCTCGATTCAGCGAAGGCTGCTCAACTCGCTTCTACCCGGATTCATGCCGAACTTTTCCCAAACTAGTTTTCTCCTCTCCTTTCCTCTCTTCTTCAACTCCAAACCCCTAAACAAAGTGTTTTGAAGGATTTGCCTCTCTCCTTACTGAAGAAAACGAACATTTGCCCTGCACACCTTTCTCCGCCAAGCAAAACATCAGTGGTGCCCAAGTCTTATGGGCGGTCAAAAATGGGGTGTCTACAGTAGAGATAAAATATTCAACAAGCTTTATATATTGAACGTTCAGATTATCAATGTGAGCTCCATGATAGACCCATAGAGGATCAACAATACCCGCCAATTAAAAAATCAAACTGGAGACAACCCGCTGCCTGAATGGGATACTTTTGCATACACATACCTTGACTGTCACTCCAATAATAATGACACAATGGAGAAGTTCCTCAATTAGGAAGGTGACTGGGATTTCCAATCATTAAATCACTTAGCCTAGCTAAGCATTGACTAACATTTTAAAAATCCATGTTCCTTAGTGTCATTCGCAGATTACAACCTATTGGGAAGGCTCTAGGGTATTGGGAAGGCTCTTTAAGTGGTGGATTTTCCTCAATTGCTGCTTATGATATTATCACTAACCAAAATTATTCTAATTCCAATTAGCAGTGAGTTTGAAAAATCAGAATCTCTAAGAAACTTTAAGGGATTTATATGGTTGGCTTTTCATTGAAGACTCCGTTTGTTTTTAGTGAAAAATATATATTTTTAATTATTTTTAAATTGCTTGGCATTTGATATACTGGAAAATAAAAGTTAACAAAAAATTATTTTCATAATCAACAAAAGGCAAACCTATTTGAACTGAAAATATTTTTACTTTCAAAATGTAGAACTAAAAATTTACTAATACCACCACTACCATCACCTCCATATCACACCACCACCACCACCACCACTACCACAACCACGAACACCATTACCACCATTGCCGCCATCACCACCACCACACCTCTATCCCATCCCTGCCACCACCACCACTACCACAGCGGGTTTGGCCGGTTTAGTTTAAAAAGGATGTTTTCAAATTAGTCCGGATTTAAGCGTTGATCCAGACCAGAATCTCGACGGGTCAACCGATCGAACTGGCCCAATTTTCAAAACATTGGATGAAAGCCTTTCTGACTTTAGACTAACTTTGAAGTTGTATTTGGTTCATAAATTTGGATAGGAATTTTTTTTTAAAAAAAAAGGTAAAATGTGAATGAAATATAATTACTTTTCACACATTTTTTCTCTTTCCTTTCCTAAATTCCTGCCAAACAAGAAAGTCTTTCTTGAAAAATTACTTGGGAAAATTACAATTCGGTAGAACAAACAAAAAAAATATTACACAAGCATGGAGGGGTGTGATAGTTGTGCTAGAGTTGACCCAGGGGACGATTTATTTAGGTCTTTTCAAAGATGAAACACGTTTATGAATATACATGCGGCTTCTATGCAAAGTTGGAGATTTCGCTGACTTAAAGGTATAAATTTAAGACATCTACAGAAGCCTTATGATAGAGCTTCTTAGAAGGGCTTCCATGAAGTTGTTGCTGAGACATACTCCATGATGGCAAGAATTAATCAGGAAAGGCCCTTAAAACTTCCTCGGGTCCGTTTGGTAGAGTTTTAGGAAAATGATTATAGATTATGACTTAATAGATTATAGATTATAGCTTTAAATATAAGCAGTTGGTGCAGCTGTGGGATTATAAATTTAATCAATAGAGTAGTGTTTGGTTGAATAAGCTGTAAAATAATTTTTTGCTGTGTAATGTCTTTTTTGCCCTTATAAGATATAAAAATTGTTATTTTTCATTTTCTTCAGTTTTAATTTTTTTAAAAAAATATTTCATTAATAGAAGTTAACATAATTAGTATCAATTAATATAAAAATTAATACATTTCATTCAACAATTGTTATTTTATTTTTTTATTCCATTTAATAGAAGTTATTTCATTTTTTTATTATTTCATTTTGTTTTCATTAATATCTGTGAGACCATGAAATATCCTCTCACATGGATGTTGTAGAGATCCAACGAAGAGAAGAGCTTCACCCTTGTAGATTTGCAATGATGAACATAATCGGTGCCACCCAACTGGGGTTGCCGGCCGGGAGTACTCCGATGATGAAGTTAGTCATTGAATCAAGAAGTAAATAGTATATATATTAGAAGGGGTGTGTGTTCTGTAGAGAGAGATGAGACATACCTCCCATTTGGGATGCCCCACCTTTATATAGATGGGGGGTGTGATATTTGTTTGGGCCGGACCCATTGTAGGCTTTGTTTGGGTTAGGCCCAATAAGCTAGTACCTATATTTTTCT